CAGGAGGCCCGGCCGGGGCTCCTGCACCCCGACCCTCGGCCGCGGGAAGGAGACCAGTCCCCGAGCTCACCCGGGGCCGGTGGACCAAGCGCAGGGTCCAGTCTCGGCGCGGTCCCCGCTCCCTCGCCACCCCTCGGCCCCATAGGCGTCTCCCGTTGGCTCCGGTGTTTGCATCTTCTTGCCCGCAAAAGTCGCTGGCTGTGTATTTGGCGCTGGATGGAAGGAATCAGGGTGCTTCGGGGACACATCTTAGGTTTGCATCCGCCGCCCCGCCTCCTCCCGCCCAGCACCTGGCAGGCACCTGCATTGCAGTGCCCGTTGGGGGTATGAATCTGGACCCAATGCTACCTTCAAGGTCCTTCCCCTTCTGACCCTCCTGTTTCCGAGCTGTCTGGTGTGACTCCTTGTTATCTGCTAAGCTCTGGCCATGATAAACTATTTCCCAAACACATTCCGCCCTGTTCTCACCAGGGCCTTAACTCCCATTTATTCAGTCACTAATTTCACTCCATTCATTCGTTCTACAATTTTTATCCTGCCCCCCTGTGTGCCAGGGCCTGAGTGAGCCAGAGGGGCAAGGCCCCAGCTCATGGAACTACTTTTCGAGGGGGAAAGGGCCACGGCACATATAAAACAGATCAAAACCTCCCAGCCAGCTGGGAGAGGAGGAGAGGAAATGGCAGGTGGATGGGGAAGGGCTCTCTTTCTCTGAGGCAATGGAAGTCGAGACCTGAAGTCTTATTAGGAGCTACTCCAGCCTGGAGCGCGGGAGAGCAGTCCGGCCAGAGGGAATAACTAGTGGAAAGGTTCCTGTGTGCCCAGGGAAAGCGAGGGAAGCCGGGCCTGGATCAGGGTCTGGGTAGGCCAGGATGAGGTGTTTGGAAGCCATTAAAGTCTTCTCTGCAGGGACATCACATGAGCTGCTGGCTCACACTCTGCCTCCTTTCTATCTACAATGGCCTGTTCCTACCCACCTGTCAAGACTAACCCGTGAAGCCTTTCCTAGGGTTCCTGCCACCTGTAACCCCCCTTTTATCATCTCATCACGCATCCGGCATGTGTTGCTGTTCATCTGGTGTTACAGATTCCACGTGACAGGTTCCCATCGGTCTCATCTCTGCATTCCTCCTTAGGCTAAGGAGGGTTTGGAACTTGGTAGATACCTGTTTGCGTGTGTGTGTTTGCCTGTGTGTCCTATCTTGTCCTTTTCATCTGTTTCCATCATCTCAGGATTCTTCTTCGGAGACACCCACATGCCATGATTTCTAAAATGGCCGATCTGAACCCGGGCAGAGGCTGGATTGCTCCAGAGCCCTGTGGATGCTGTGGTTGTCACCCTCTCACCCCTCGGGTTGTTTTGAGGATAAAATGAATTAATGCATGAATAAATGTGAAGTGCGGACACGTAGTAAGCATTCTACAAATAAATTTGACGAAGAGCAGCAATGATTATCTTTCAGATATTTATTGCATTAGAAACAAGCTTTTCTGTTGTTGGTAGTTGGGGGTGGGGGTGGGGGCTTGGCATTGTCCTCTGGTGGTTTTCACAGGCTGTGTGAGTGCTTTCGTTGATACGCCAATTAAACTCCTTCCCCACTGGCGTCCAGAACTGTTGCTGAAACTTAGGGCTGAAGGCTAACCACCTGTTTCTTTCGCTTGCCTGAGTAATTGAATAGATTGGGAACTGCAACCAGTATTCCTTGAGTGATAATCACATTCCTAGTGTTGTTCCAGGTGTGAGAGTATTTTCAGAAGAGGACTAAATGGATATGGCCACTGTGCTAAATTAAGTTACAGTAAGTTTCCTAGTTTTATAATTTAAAAAAATATATTTTTCATTGATTTTAGAGAGGAAGGGAAAGGGAGAGAGAGAGTGAGAGAAACATCAATGATGTGAGAGAATCATTGATCAGCTGCCTCCTGATCCCAGTAGGGAATCGAGCCCACAACCTGGGCATGTGCCCTAGACAGAAATCAAACATGGGACCCTTCAGTCTACAAGCCCGATGCTCTATCCACTGAGCCAAACCAGCTAGAGCAGTTTTATAATTTTTTTTAGGAGAAAATGTACAAGTTTCCATTTATTTTATTTTTTAAAATATGTTTTCTTATTGATTTCAGAGAGGAAGGGAGAGGGAGAAATAGAAACATCAATGATGAGAGAGAATCACTGATGGGCTGCCTCCTGCATGCCCCCTACCAGGGATCGAGCCTGCAACCCAGGCGTACCTTTGACTGGAATTGAATCTGGGACCCTTCAGTCTGTGGGCAGGCGTTCTATCCACTGAGCCGAACGAGCCAAGGCCTAGATTTATAATTTTTAAAACCAGTTCTATAGTGTATATGCAGCCAACCTCTCCTCTCTCCCTGTGTTCCTCTCCTAGAGTTTGTCCATTGCTATGCTATACCTCTCTTTCCTGCGTTAGGATCTTGGCTGCTCACTACATTTCTCTACGTCCCCATCCCTTGTACAGCCTGGAGATGAGGTCATTATACTATCTATGTCATAAGATACGTTATAGTTTACAGAATAGGTCAACCACAAAATCGTGTTTAGATCTTGACAACACCCCAGGAGGGAGGGACGCTGATTTATTTTTCCCATTTACAGATGAGGAAGATGAAACAAAAGATAGAATAACATGCAGGAGGTTATGTGACTGGTGAGTGGCAGGCTCAGGCACGGGTACCCATACAGCACCCTTTCTGCCACATCTCCAATATCTATACTCACGGAAGGGAGAAGTAAAATTAATAAATATCACCCAGCTGGTGTGGTTCAGTGGTTGAGCATCGACCTATGAACCAGGAGGCTACAGTTCAATTCCCAGTCAGGGCACATGCCCAGGTTGTGGGCTCTATCCCCAGTGTGGGGCATTCAGGAGGCAGCCAATCAATGATTCTCTCTCATCATTGATGTTTCTATCTTTCTCTCCCTCTCCGTTCCTCTCTGAAATTAGTAAAAATATGTTTTTTAAAAGTTAATAAAAATCATGCAATGAAGGAAATCCACATTCCAATTTCATTTGATTATTTTAAAAGGTAGCCTGAATTTATCATGAGGCTGTCACCATCACTTTGGGCATTCTTTAGTATCAGACAGACTATGCTTTGAATCTGCAACTAATAAGTGACATCTTAATAAGCTGTGTGATCTTGGGAAGGGTACTAAATCTTTCTAAATCTAAAACTCCTTTATACATCACATGTAAATGAAGGGTGCTAATGCCTATGTCATCATGTTACTGTGATGATTAAATGAGTTTATGTATATAAAATGCCTTGTTCATAGTGGCTCACAAGGCGGTGGTTATTTTTATTAACATTACTTCAGATCTTCCCCCATATGATCATATCCCAAATATGTTCAGCCGTGGGGCTGGAAAGTTCAATGGGCTGTGGGAAAAACCATGGCTGGGAATTCCACTGGGGCAGCTATCCCTTCTGGGCCAACGAGAAGGCCTTCCATACCACCGTTCCTCTTTCCCACTTTTTTTTTTTTCACAGAAGGCTGCAGTTCTGTGAGAAGTAACATACCTTTTGGGACTCTTGACGTCTTTTCAGCCTAACACTGTCCTGGACCAGAGCAGACATTCAATACATAAGTTTGTAATGAATGAATCCTCTAGGGATACATACATGGTGTCCCTCCAAAATGTATACACACTTTAACAATTTTGAAAATGAAATGTATCTTAATGAACACTGCCTTTATCATTATTCAAAGTGTGTGTATATGTTTGTTTGTTTTTTTGGACACCTTCTATATCTCCAACGAGAATGAGTAACAATTCAAACACTGTAAGTATAGGATAAATACCTAGAAGGATAGTTAACTGGGTTAAAAGGTATATACTTCTTTAATTTTGAAAGATGTTGTTAAGTTTACCTCAGTATATTTTTACTTCCCTTCGGTAGTGTATGAGAGTCCTGACTCCCTGCTTCCTTGTTAATACTGAGTACTTTCCAACTTTTCAGTGCTTGCCAATTTCTTGGGTGTGAAATGGTACTGCATGGTTTCATATTGAATTTCCTTGATGAATAATGAAGCTGAAGATTTTTCACATCAGCCTTGTATGATCCTCTCTGAAATGCCGGCTCATATATTTTCCTATCCCCCCCCCCCCCCCC